TATTCCACTTGTACAGGATCTTTTCCTGTTTGTGTGGATACAGATTGTCCGACAGACTTGCGTCCGGCATACTTGCGTCGAATCCCGACATCTTGCACGATCAAAGTCCGATCGCACGTGTCGAAAATCTCGTACTTGAATAGTTTCGTTTGGAACGTAAAAACTCATATTTCGTCATATCCCAACAACTTTCACCGAATGCCATTCAAGGTGATTCCAAAGAAGTTAACTGTGGCACTTATGACAAGAGTCGCAAAAATATCCAACTACTATCCGGCAAAAGGTGGGTTGTCTGCATACTACAGCCCGCATATGATTATGCCTCAACAAATGGTTGATGCCTCTAACGAATTTGTCGCTGAGATTGGTGCATGGATATGGCCATGACAACAAGAATAATATGACTGTTCGAACAATTGAAGGTGTTTACATGGGACCCACCAACAATATTCAAGAAGGACACCGTATCTATGATCTGAACACAAAGTGCGAGGCACAACGTGCGAAGATCAAGGTTCTTCTGATGACCGACCAAGTCATCACGATTATAGAAGAAGACGCAAGATTGGAAGGAGTGACGGAATTACGCACCTATTCCAAGCGTAATGGCAAGCTAATCCTCGATGGTGATTTGCTCAAAGGAGTGGACCCAGATGAACTGTGGGATGAAAACTACGTACCAGTAAACGAAATCAAAAGACTGAGTGACGAAGTTGATGAATTACTAATGGATGCTGAAGCAGACATCATGGAATCGAGGTTCGACAGGGACAGGAACCCAAGATACGATAGCGAGGCGAATCAATATGAAGATGAGCTAGAGGACAAAATGTTTGACAGATTGTTCAAGAAGATTAAGGCTAAACAAGATGCTGAAGATCCGATGGACGAAGACTACCAGGAACACTGCCAATGAGGACATGGACTACAAAGACAAATACAAATGTGAACTAGAAAATGAAGTAATGAAGCAAATGTTAGACGAACTGGCAGCTGAGTTAGTGGAACTTGGAAAACCAGACAAAGAAGAAGTACTGTTCGAATTTGATGACGACACACAAGAAGATGTGGCAGTTGAATCAGAAGAGGAAGATGGTGCAGGAGTGAGATTCGCGGACACAGATGATAATGAGTCCGACACCGAAGGAGTTGTGAGAAGCTACAGTGACGACGGTGTCAAGGTTGGAGCAAAAAGGGTACTTTGCCCAAGACACAATCGATCCTACTTCTCCCAAGGGGTAAAAATGAGACCCACTGAGAGCTATAGAAGAGAGAAATCAAGATTTGGACAGGCATACCTACAAAGGAAGATTCCGCCTGTGCCAAACGTTTTGAGAAATGACGCTGACGAAGCGTTGGTAGTCGCTCGTGTTATTCAACAAATACTTGAGGGTGTCAACAGTGGTATCAATGGGCAAGACGGAGTCTCATTCATTCAGCAATACTATCCGAATAAAGGACTGAAGATATTCAAGGAGCGGCCATGAAAGAACTTGACCAACTGATCAAGCGCAGTTGCTGGACACTGATCAGTATTGAGAAACTAAGACCGGCCGAAAGAAAGAAGGCCGTAGATGCAATGATGCTACTGGCCGAAAAGAATGATGGTGTGACAATCAAAGGACGCTGTGTATTCAAAGGTAACAAGACCCGGGATTGGTTGTCTTGTGAGGACACTGCAAGTCCCACAGTTGAAGATTTGAATGGACGATTATGTCCAAAGAATGCTCGACGCGTTTTCTGTCAAGTTTAAAGAGGATGACAAACAGGAACTTGCAACAATTTGCTGGAGGTAGGAAAAGGAAAACTATTGGATAAAGATCAACAGACCGAGTTTCAAAGGTTTGTTGCAAAACATTTGTTTTTGACCAAACCCACGCGTCTGGATATGCATCCGACGGTAGCAATTTTGGCATCACGAGTTCAAAACCCAAATCAGAGTGATTGGCATAAACTCGTGAAACTTATGAGATACATGCACTCTACCAAGAAATGGCATCTCACGCTGAGCGCTGACAACCTTCGTGTAATGAAGTGGTATGTTGATGCGTAATAATAATAATAATAATAAGACATTATTATTACGCATCAACATACCACTTCATGAAGTGGTATGTTGATGCGTCTTTTGCGGTTCACCCTGACTTCAAGAGTCACACAGGAGGAGTGATGACCATGGTCCAAGAAACAGAAGCTGAACAGCCGCAGCAGTACACATGTGGAATGTGGGGGGATTATATGACAAAACCTTTGCAAGGGGAAAAGTTCCGCAAATTTTGGGCATTGATCCAAGGGGATCAGGAAGATTAGATATGACCGTCTTGAGTTATATATACACGTTACATATTAAATGAAGAAAGGATTCCTTATCGCAACTGGAGTCCTCAAAACGACAGGAGTGCGTTGGTGAAATGGGATCTTAATAGATAAAAGAACAGTCGAACATGTCAGACAGTGAAGTTGGACATTTGTGATATTGAACACGGACAGGAGTACGGTTGGAGTACGTACAGAGATGGATGAAGGTAGATCTACTCTGTGACTAGTTTGTGAAGAGCATGTGCGTATGTGCTTTATACGCCGCGACAGCTGGTGAGAGCTGACGCAGATGGCTTCCGGAAAGAGATGTTTTGTACCTGCTTGCGGAGATCATTGTTGATCGACTTCTGGCAAGAATAGCAGTAGAATAAGATCTAATACAAAGTGGTGAGACTGTTCATCCGCAGGTTGAAGCCCAGCATCACTGGCACCTGTTCCTATTGTAGGCAATCCATAGCCATCGTAGATTCGAGCTCAGTACAGTATACTCCAGAGGTAGCTAGAGCGTTGAGACTGTCATTACAGCTATGGAGTTGAATATCTGACATTGTTTCAGAATAGGGTTAAAAAAAACCGCAAAGATATTACGTGTTGATGGTTCTGCGCCTTCCTTTTCGAGGCGAACAATTTTTCAATATATCGAAACCAAACGAAACCAAACAAGCAATTTTTAGGAATATATCGAAACCAAACAAAATGAAACCAAACAAAATAAAATGAAATGAAATGAAATGAAATGAAATGAAACGAAATGAAACGAAATGAAACGAAATGAAACAAAATGAAACAAAATGAAACAGAATGAAACAAAATGAAACAAAATGAAACGAAATGAAACGAAATGAAACGAAATGAAACGAAATGAAACGAAATGAAACGAAATGAAACAAAATGAAACGAAATGAAACGAAATGAAACCAAACGAAACGAAACGAACGAAACGAAACGAAACGAAACGAAACGAAACGAAACGAAACCAAACGAAACGAAACCAAACCAAACCAAACCAAACCAAACCAAACCAAACCAAACCAAACCAAACCAAACCAAACCAAACCAAACCAAACCAAACCAAACCAAACCAAAACAAACCAAACCAAACCAAACCAAAACAAAACAAACCAAACCAAACCAAACCAAACCAAACCAAACCAAAACAAACCAAAACAAACCAAACCAAACCAAAACAAAACGAAACGAAACGAAACAAAATGAAACGAAGCAAACCAAACAAAACCAAACAAAACAAAACCAAACAAAACCAAACCAAACAACACAAAATCTCGCGGTTTTGTTTCGTTTGGTTTTATTCCAAAACAACACAAGAAGTGTGATCTTGTGTCGTTTGGTTTCGTTTGGAAACCTCCGCTCTGTTTGGTGTTGTTTGGTGTGGCATGCGCGGTTTGATTCGGAATAGATAACTAGTTACGACGCGTCACACGCATCAGATGCAAACTCCCTGCAACTCCCAGTAGTAGTCAAAAAGCTCTAGACAAGGACTGCAGCCGCATATGCCACACTATCTGAAGCGTTGACGGTTTGTTCCAAGCAGCGGCCATTGAAAGCTCCTTGATCCGAGGCATAATGCTAAAAGTTCAGAGAAAAGAGGAGCAGCAAAGAAAACTGGGTTAGATTAATGAATACAAATGAATGCATCAAATCAATCAATCAATCATTATAACACCCAGCCAGTCAATTGCCGCACTGTACCACATACCGGATTTTCTCCTTGCATAGTATTGCATGAACAGCATTCGGACTGCATCATGGGGTTCTCAGGCAAGTTGGCATGGCATTTGTCCAAGTTTTCCCCGGGCCCATAAGAGACTCCTTGGATATCGATCGTGTCGGACAAGATGCCTCCATATTTCATCATATTGGCCAATGTAGGTCGGGTTCCATTGTAGGTATCCACCACTTCCTGAAACACTGCACTGGCCACTTCTTGTTGTCCTTGGCAGCCATGTGTGTTGGGATGGTTCTGATCCCGTTTGATTGACGAGTGCATTCATGTTCTCTAATTACGTTGTTTTATTCCCAAAGAGCCAATTCTCATTCAAAACCACCATGCCCAATTGATTGTACAAGTCCAACAGAGTTGGATTGGGTGAATTGTGAGCAGTACGTTGGAAGTTGCCACCAATATCATACTACGAGAAGCTTGGGCTTGAAAGAGATTGATACTGCAGGGCCTAGTAGGAGAAAGAAATGCGACAGAGCGTAGTGACACATCAAGAAGAAGGGCCAATGACAAAAGCAAGGCGTTGTCAATCACAAATCATAGCAAATCACCAATCTTCCTTAACCACACGATGCGGAAGCTGGTATGTGTGCATTTCCTCATACAATAAGTGAAGAAAGAGGTTATCCTCCACTTGGTTTCAGATTGCGCTCGTCGCCGCTGTGGCTGCGAGGGGTTTGAAGATTTCTTATTGTGTCCCCACGACAGGAAAGACAGTGTTGAGTACAAATGGTCAATTTGATTTGAAGGGGTTTGAAAAGCCAGTCGTATTTTGGGTCTGTTGTCAATGACTTTTGAATTGTGTGACAGATGGTCGACCTGACAAGACATTTGAAAACAATAAGGGTAAGCACGAAGTCAAGCTGGTGGAATCTTTGGAGTCTCCCGACAGGTGGGACTGCACTAAGGGCAATATAACGAGAACCATTCATCTCTACTCGAATTCGCCATTCATCCTTTTGTTTGTCAACAATGCTTCCCAAGGAATACTTCCTGTGGCGTCCATGGTTCGAGGTGAAGGGTCGTATGCGGAATTTGAAGACGTGGAATGGAAGGCTTGTTCTCATGTAGCTGTTGCTCGGATGGAAGAAGATGACGACACGGCAGTATCCACAGAAGTCACAACTTGTGGTCCTCCACTCGCTTTGAAACTGAGTATCCATTGCCCTTTGCCTCACACTGGAACAGAAAGTGCCCTCTTTTTGAATGGTCAAGATGCGGCACTGATCCGAGCCTCCTCCATCCCAGATGCAACTGGCCAGGTGGTACTACACATGGCTAATAGTCAAAATGTCGAATGGAAGGCTGGATCTCTTGCAGCAGTTGCTCGGATGGAAGAAGCTGGCGACGCTGTCGCATCCACAGAAGTCATGAATTGTGGCCCGCCAATTGCTCTGAAACTACTGTAAGTATCGATTGCCCTTCGCCTCACACTGGAACCAGAAGTGCCCTCTTTTTGGATGGCCAAGATGCGGCACTGATCTGAGCGTCGATCATCGATGCAACCGGCCAATAGTCAAAAGGATTCCTTTGCCATTATGATGGACCAAGAGAGATCCAAGGAAAAGGAAGTGGCAATTCAAAGTCATCCAACAATACTCCGTGGCATATTGCGTATCATTGATTGGTCCGAGCGGCGGTTCTATAAAAAGGCCAAACTGCCATCAATTGACGGTCCATCGGGATTGACCTTGAATGGCAATGAACAAGATATTGTATTGGAGGCTAGTAGTTCACCTGGTCTGGAAACTGTTCGCTTGACCTTTCCTACCATCACTATATTTCACTAAAGGACGCAGCGTTGCAAGTTGCCCAAGCTCGAGATGGAAAGGCGTCTTAGCTTGGAAGCCAAGACGAGGCAATAGTGTACAGTACAAAGAACCTAGATTCATTATGTTATTATAGAAAACATATGTAATAATACTCCTAGTACAAACAGCCAAGTGAACAGTATGACTAACTTGTCGCTATCAGTACGGTGATCGATGGATGTACTTGAACTACACTTCTATTTGTTATTACAATTTGTGGATCCAATCATGTCGCAACTTAGCCAAAATGGGAGTGACGCACAAACTTTTTGGCATTGGTACCTTGACACTCTCAATCAGTACCATGGTAGGAGATCATTGGTCGGCAAGATGTCAGATGGAATGGTCTTGACTTACCACTTACCATATATATGGCAGTTTGAAATTATCCATTGTCCCGGGTAGCTAGCACTAACATCAAATGGACAAAGGGACTTGACAATACACTATGTTAAAGTTGGTTACAGTATATGGTTCTAGCTAATAAGCTACATAGCCGTATAGAAAGATTTGGGCGTCTTGTCAATTGGTCCAATGAAGTCTATGGGGATGATCTGAGGTGCGTGGTCTATTCAGCATGATCATGAATACTTGCATTGCCCCACAGTTCCTTGGCCATCGGCACTTCAAGACACTGAATACATAAATTAGCAAAAATTACCAAGAACAAGCAGGTGTTGAAACTCTTGGAAGATGCCGACTCTGTCAAGATGCTGACACATTTTTCGAGATAGTCCTTCTGAAAAATCCGGATTGTCACAGCCAATGAGAAAACAAGGTCTCTCGGTGCCGTCGATGGAGGCTTGAAGAGGCGCGATGTTGTAAAGAGGCGTATTGTCATGTATAGCAGGGATCACGTCGCTCAATTGGATCATGAAATCCACCTCAACAACCATTTCATTTGCTGTCAAGGATTTCGAGTTACATTCTTCAACCATCTTGGGTAGAATGTGACGATGGTGATCGTTGAAGTAGTTGTTGACCAGTCTTTGAACAGCAGTTACTTCCTTTGCAGATCAAGGAAGGAAGTTGGGGGCAGGTGGTTTGGCTGGTAGATGAGGGCCCGTGGAGTGTAGGAGGACCCGGCTCTTGTGGATTGGAGAACGGCTAGGGAAGACAAGGACCAAGGCGCGGACAGCGTCCACTGGTAGAGGTGGGAGATCAGGGTTGAAATGTCGAGGCAAGTAAAAGGTGCGCTGACGGCTGGTGGAGGCAAGAGAAACGGAAGTACTCAGCATTGAGGAACTTTCCTTTCCCAGCGAACAGTAGTATGCAAGATTTGACGGTACTCAGCATTGAGTAACTTTCCTTTCCCAGCCTCCAGTATTCTTCGAACATGCTCTTGACATAGTGGTCCATGCGGATCTTGAGTTTTCCTTTCACCGAGTAATCCAAAGTCATTCCAAGATATCTGTGTATCTTTCCTCTGACGATTGTGCATGCCTTGATCAAACAATATCTCATGTTCAATCACTTAGCAAATTTGTCATTTGGGTCCATGTGACTTGACATAAGATCGTCAACATGAAACCTGATAGTTTGCTGTTTTTTATCAACAACTTTGTTAGCAACACACGGGTCATATGGATTGAAAACAAATCTCTTTGCCTCCAAATCACTTCAAAACTGATTATAGAATAGGAGGCTTGATTGTAACATCCCATATATAGCACGTAGTACCCGCACATAGATTACTCGCTTTCTGTTCTCTAATACAACGTATTTGCGATACTCTGGGGCCATGTCAATCAATATCTGGACCATCATGCCAGTGATTTTCATGTAGATACGATCTTCTCCCTCCTTAGCTTCAGGCATATAAGTTTGAATGAAAGCGTTAGGCATGTTCATTGTCAATACATCTCTACCTTTGTGTGCATCAATAACACGAGTAGTGGTGATTGCTTCTTGCAAAGCAGTTGGACTTGCAGTGTCCTCTTGCAATAACCATTCACGAGTTCCATCGCCTTGGTATACTAAACAACCTTTATTTGTCTTTTTGAATTGCTTCTCCGCTACTAACATCATCGCTGATTGGGTCTTCTTTTGCTCAGACGCGGTCATGTCTCTAACAAATTCGGGAGTGAAACAATCTCTCAGAAGCATTTGTCTCAATTCCTTCTCCACAGCATCCTTTCCATCATCACCAAACTTCTTCAGTCCTTGATTGATGTAGTACTGTTGGATGAAGTTCAGACCTTCTTCAGTATCAAACTTGGCCTTGATCTTCATCATGCAACAAGCGATCAGAATAGCATTGTGCTCTTCATAATCAGCTTTTATCTTGTTCCCAATCTGTTGGAAACATAGATTGTGCTGTGCTTCAAGGATAGCTTTACTGTCTTTAGTACTGCGACTTCCTTCTTTGGTAAAAGTACCAGATTTTAACTTGTTCTTCAACGGTTCCAATTCTCTCTCTCTCAATGCTTGTGTCTTGTTGCAACTTGATTCTTGTTCTTATTGGCAGAACTGCCACTCCTGCTTGAAGGCCATTCTCTTGGTTTCTTTGGAACTTGAGAAAGGTTCAGCCCAGACATTGCAACTTGCCCAGATTGAGTGACTTTGGCTACTTGAGGCGTTTCAGGCTCAAATACATTCTCTTCTTCTGGTGGCTCTTGTAGGTCCTCCAGATCAGTAACGAGGCTCCCAATATCATTGGTTCCTCTATCAACATTTTCTTGATGGTGATCCAAATCGGCCACACCAATCTTGAAATGTCTCCAAATTTCTCTTCCTATCGAAGAACTTCATGGAAGTAACACCTTTTGCAGCAGCCCAAGGGGGTAACGGGTAGTACAACGACCTTGGGTCGGGAAATCATCTTCTTAGTATTGAGGTTGATCACTTGGTGCCCAGTACGTTGTCCCTTTGTAGGTTCAATGTAAATCGCTTTGATACCTCGGGGTTCCATCTAATTGTTGGAATCCGTCCCAATTGCATGAACATGTTGTCCAAGTTCAGCAACCATGTCACTCTTGTAGTTGATATTGACATTATCAATGAGTTGCTGCGGACTGAAATGTGATGAGATACTGTCTTTCTGGGGAAAGACATTCAATAGCTTGGCGGCTCGACGTCCAAGACATTCAGTGATCACTTTTGGGACCACTTTGTAGAGTAATCGTGCAAGAGCTACTCTGACTCTTTCTTTCAGCGTCCTATTGTTTCGCTCAGCGGTAGGCTCGTGGTCTCCAGCTGCCGTCGGGTCAATAGTAACACCCATATCATCTAGCATATCATCTGTGAGAGGAATGAATGCCCGATCACACTTGATGATCTTGACTTGAAAACTGGCAACGGTACATCGCACTTGTCTCTTTGGCACCTGGTTTGACATTCGCCCCAAGTTGCTCCATCACATACACACCCTTACAATTCACAAATTGCATCTTTCTGTTTCCATCACAATGCACAGTAAAAGCATTGTCAGCATCAGTATCCATAGTGATGCGGTATCCCGCAGCAAGTACATTGGCAATTCCATCTTCATCGTGATAAACCGGAGGTGGAAATCTTCCTAGAAAACCTTTTTCGTCAAGAACTCTGCTGCCCACGTTAGTGTGCATATCAAGTTCTTTCTCAGCATGATGTAGTCCATGCATGAGCTCACCATTACAAATGGTGGTGTTTGTACAACCACTGTCCATGATGACATGATCGTACAACCCAAATGGATCTCTTTGCTTTCTGCGGCTTTGAATAAACTGCAGATCTCGATCTGCTTTGGTAGCAAGATCAGGCAAATCTTCATCTTCCTTAGCATAGTGCCAGTCGGCTTGAAGTTTGACATCTGTCGTACCAGCAGGACATGGAATACGATAGACATCATTGTCAGTCTCATCCTTTCCCTTCATAGCATTGTGAAAGACATTTGACGTATCAAAATAGCCAGTCTTCACAGCTTGCGGAGTTCGAGCTTGAGCTGCATCAAATCCTTGGCACACTTGAGCACCACTGCAGCCTTGTCGGCTGAGTTGCATTCCACTGAACACAAACTCACCGTTAGCATTCATAGAATAAGGGACAGTAACAGTGCCGCCACCTTGAGTTGGAATCTGCATCATTTGATTACCTGTAGTACCAGCAAGTTGCAAAGATGTCTTAACGCTTCCTGCAACACTTGATGCTCCACTTGTGGATGCTGAAGCTCCAGGAACTATAGCTGGAACAGTAGCTGGGACAGTTGCTCCAATCTGATTAAGATTGAGCTTCTTCCCATTGTTGTCCCTTGGTTCATAGCAAAGAACTTTTGATTCGCTTCCCAGGAACACCCGGCAGATTGATGACTTTAGAGTTCCTTGTGGTTCCTTCTTGCAAGATGACTAACTAACGAAGAAGACATTTCTCATATATAAGAACATCTTGTCATTCATAAATAGTTTTGAAACAAAAGGGATACTTTTTAAAATCTTTTGTCATTAATAGTTTATTTAGAGGTACAGCTGACATAATGATGGAAGACCTGCTTTCAGGTTGTGACTTATTACTTTTTTGCTCCGAATAAAAATTACTCGTTCCGAATAAAAATTACTCGTTCCGAATAAAAATTACTCGTTCCGAATAAAAATTACTCGTTCCAAATAAAAATTACTCGTTCCAAATAAAAATTACTCGCTTTGCAATGTGAGTTATTTCTTGTTTTGGTGGCTTCTCATTGTTTTGGTGGCTTCTCTGGGCTATGCTCAAGATATGATCTGGAGTGTGAGAAATATGGCCCATGTGGACTTTAAGGCTTTAAGAGGCACTCAAACGGTCTACAAGCCGGGAAAGAATGACTCCAAGTTCTTCAAAAGTTCGAGACAGGCTCAACTTGATAGGAACTGGGAGAATCTAAATATCAAGATTGATAAAAGAGAGGTGATCTACACCACAAACCAATATACCGTGGCTGCAATCATCACCAAGCATTTCATCACTCAAGCAATGAGAGATAAGTTAAGCAATGAAACTGATTGGTTGGACCTCAAGGAAGACCACGTGATGCTGTTAAAGCGTATCAAGACGTTCATGACCATCATGGATGAGGATGTGTTGCCCAAAGGTTGCCATTGCCCTGTTGTGCAGCACCTGTCGCTCCACTGGTGGATGATGACATGGCAGAATCTATGCAGGCAGCCAAGCGCTACAAGCCTAGTAGTTCAAGTCAATCACTTAGTACCCATACCAGTCCAAGCTCAGAAAAATTTGTTCATCCTGACCAAGGATGCATGGTGGACCCAATCAAATTTTGCATTGGAATAGTCTTGACCCAAGCGACTGTGGCGACACTTTAACTAACCACAGTCTTGAAAATGGTGGATTCTCAGACAAATGGCGGACGTTTTGTTGGACTCCTTAAGTAAATGGGCGGAATGTACTAGGGATACATGCAATAGTAGGTAGGCACTCGTCGAATACAAAATTTGAAAACTTTTGCCGGACAAGTGTCCACCTATTTGGGAATGGGGAAAATCAGAATAGAGCAATTGGTATTGGTATAGTCAAACTGCTGATTTTGAGAAGTGGCGTCCACCTATTTTCACCATTTTGCACCCAAAATCTTAAGCCGTGTCAAAGCAGTAGTTGTCAAGCAGCAAGCAGAAAGCAGCAACAACATGCCAGCCCCACTTTACCATAAAAAACTTTGGTGGTCAAAATAAATGTGGATATGGTTGTGTTGGCAAAATACCAATGTCGTACAAGCTATAACTGAAATGCTGTCAATGGCTACTGGAGAAAGGAGACGACACAAGTATTTTTGCCACTGTTTCATGATCCTCACATGGGACTTAATGTGCAGGGCCAACAACACAGAGACAATTCTTATTGACCAGATGCAATGGCATGGTGATCACTTGGAGATCAAATTAAGTCCACAAAAGGATACCAATAAGGGAGAGAAAAAACGTCTTCCAAGACGTCTACGTGCCAATCCGCAACAACCAGGAGCATGTCCAATAGTTGCCCTTGCACTTTACTTGGGTCTGGTGGCCAGGCGTTTGGAGATGAATTGGCTCTTGTTTTCCAGGGAATTCCCAGCACAAACGTTTCATGGATGGGCTAAGCAAGATCCTCACAGACCACAAGAATGAACTTCGGAAAATGGGATATGCAAGCTTCACAGATTACCGCTCATAGCATCAGAAAGGGAGCGACATCGTGGCTGAGTGAACAGCCTGGGGGATCACTTCCAATCTCAATATGTATTCAAGGAGGATGGTCTTTGGGTGGCATCAAAGACGTCTATATGAAATACTACTACTAGGTAGAACAAAACTCACTTGGTGGTGGAATGAAACCCAGCCTTTTCTTGTATAGCAGCATACTGCATTAATAAATTCTATTCTACTTTTGATAAGTTATTAGTATTAGCTGTGGATGCAATTCTTTTTATACTATCTCTGCTTCAACTTGTATCAACATGTCACACTGTTTGGAGGATTGCCCCCACCAAAACTCGTCTTTTGGTGTATCTAGCTAATACCACAAGAACTATCAGAACATTTTTAGACCACCAAGCACTGTCATTCTGCGGAATCTATACTAATGGTGAACTTGCCGCACCACGAGAAATCCTTGCGTGCATACAAATAAAGGATACACACAAAACTAAGTTTTTTAAGGCAGAGGTGCTGCCAACTACTACTAGCATGGAACGCACAGGAAGTAGTAGAAGCTAAGAGAGACAAGAATCAGTACTGTACCTGCACTGCGGACAAAAGTTACAGGGTTTCTGGAAGATTTACGGGAATGGTATGTACTCCCATCCATTTTTCCCGTATTTTCTCCTTCGATCCTGTATCGGCAATTTGTCCGGTAAAAACTCCTGTAGCACCAAGAAAATTCGTTGTTTGTTGAGCAATCCCGTAAAAACTCCCTTTTCTTGCGTCGATGGTAGCTTCAAAACTTGAGCAGGCATATACCTTTATACAAATCGAATATTATATGCCATACAACATGATCATCATGATGAACTGAAAGTGGTTAGAGAATTTTACGAGCAGATTCCTTTCGTCCGTTGAGCATCTCATCATGCGGTTATATACTGCATCATATCCTTGGATCACACCCGCGTTTGCGCAATAATACAACAACCATCCCATCTCAATGTTTCTTTTTTCGAACCATGTACAGATTCCTCAACCAGATAATCGCCCCCCGCAGTAATGTCAGCATCTCAATTGCCTCGTGGTGAATGCGCAAGCATTCTTGATAGTAGCGTCAACAAGAAGAACACAGCCGAATTCACATGTCTGAATGGATTAATCTCGACTCCTCTTGTAGAACAGTACCTGTTCCACAATTCTCAGCTACCGCAACCCCATGTGGATAGGATGTCCCCAGAGGAGAAGAAGAATCTGAAAGCCCACGTACCAGGTGATCTCTACCATAACAGCGATGATAGAAAGGCTGTTGCTACAAAATTGAAGTCTGAGGACCCAGCTGCCGCAGCAGAATTCAAAGCAGACCCAGTCCACTACCAGGCAAGACAGATTCTAAGGAATAACTCCAACTATCCTAACAATATGATCAAAGACAAGGAGGTCGTGGCCCTGAAAATACATCTGGAGAAATTTTGTGTGAAGCTTGCCCGCAAAATTAAATTGAAGGTCGAATCGGTGCTTGTCTTGGAGTTCAACATTTTGAACCTGAAAGATGATCTGGGAAATCCACTACAAACGTCCTCTTTAGACAACTTAAGGATAATGGCGACATCTAAAGAGCATGGCTCAGCGGTGAGAGAAGCCATTGAACACCTTTTCCAATACACCCTATGGCCTGCCATAGGTATGAGAGGTGCAAAGCACAACCGTGACGCCCTTGCTAAAACTTTAAGCGAAGCTGCCAATCTCGTGTTCATCACATCGGGCAAAAGTTGCATCATCAAACAGATTGGAGACCAGCTTACGCAAGTAAAACGTAAAGTCATGGGCAAAACAGGAAAGAACAAAAAGAAGTCACCACAATCACATGTAAGTTCCTTTTGCATCCCGAAGTGTATTTACAAGTCTCTCATTGACTGTCAACTCCATCATATAGGAACAACGTCCACCACTTGCTCCAACTACAACTAGAGCCAGCATCCCTTGGCGAACAAATAGTACCTTCCTTACCAACGCCCCACCAACCCACGATCAAGCCTTCACACCTGATCCAGCTGTCAACTACCTTAAAACCTCACCTCCTTGCAACGAATCGAACTTCAATGAAATATCTGGAGACAATCTTGTAGGTTTTGGCACACTTGTATCTGATCATTTTGACGGCATACCTACTGGACCAAAAAACACCCCCGTGGATGAAATCTTCTACAGCGATGACAATGACACTATTATTTTAAACGGTCCGTTTGAAACCAAAGACCTCCAAAAATCTGAATTGACTGCATCACAAGAGCGCAATCCGAAGCGACTCTTTGAGAGGCAAGTAGCAAATTCGACATACAATAACACAACAAGAAATGTTTCTGCTGTGTCAAGAAAGGACATCGATGCAATCGTTGCACATGGAGTTACTCAACAGAATTTGTTGGTTACAACATCGAATGCACCCAAAACAAAGAGTCAAGAGGAGAAAATCACTAAGGGCCAACAAAAGAAACCACTGGAAACAGCTATGTCGAAGAATGCAGATGACCCAAAGCAATCAAGAGACCACGCAGAAGACCCTGGTTTCCGATTTGATGTGTTATGCATCAGGCGATCTTGGAATGTATTCTGATAATGGGACATTCTCCAAATTCGTTGAAATATCGGTTTGCCAAGGTTATAAGTGCGGTTTTGGTCAGGTCCTCAAGACAAGCCTGTCTCTACACACATTTCAGCAATGCTACCTCGCCCTTGAGGAGGATTCTACCAGAATCAAGTCTGCGGTTTGGTTATGCGACAAGTGCCAACAAACCATGATGGCCAAAAGTGGTAGGCAAAGAAAACGAATGAAACTAATGGATTACAGTACACCAGGTGGCGGGTGAGTCGTGTCCGTACCATTATTGGGCCAATAATAACTTATAACGCAGTTACCGTACACCCATGCACCCATCATATGATAGACTTATTATAACTAATACATAACCTCAATGTTCAATAATTGTCTTACAGTTTAAAAACAAAGTTACAAAGGAACATTTCAATCATGTCTCGTACAAAGCACTTTCCATATGGGGCAAGCCTAACATTGCCGGGATGTCGTCAGTTTTCCCTCTTGAAACTTCTTTCCATTCGGAAGAGACCAGATAGTAAGATTGACCCTCGCCAACAAAACCAACCGGCTTGTTGTTTGCCATTGGAGATATGTCATCTAGTAGAGGCAGCATCCAGAAATAATGTATCGATTTTCGCACCCTGATCTTTTCCAGATCGTTTTTGACCTCATTGTCGGAGCAGATCCGCCATGTGAAGTAATTGGCCCCACACAAACTAAGATGATACATATCGGGCTCAATCTGATAGTATCTTTCCTCCTCCCAATTTAGTCCAACTAAACCAAAGTATCGTGCGTTCTCCACAACAATACCTGTGATAAGATTGTTTCTCGTGGACAAGTGTCTGTGTGCTGTCTCAATATCCTTGTATCTTACAAAGTTTGAGTTTGTGTTACGAATCATCTCATCTTCAATCCTTGTTTCGCCGCCCTTTGTGGCGCCCACTTTGATCTTGTGGTCTATAGCCTGGAGAATCTTCAATGTTGCTGGTTCAGAAGATGACAATTCCTCATCCATGCTTGAAAGGAAAGATTGTTTTGCGTCTCTCAAGACATTCCTGTGCGATTTATCCTTGTAGTACGCATATGTCACATTATAGGCCCAGTTCTCTCCACGGGTTCCCGAGGAAAATCTCTTCTTCAGGAGCTGAATCAAAGCCTCACCCTTGAAATCTAGTTCTGAAAGAGGCCAAACCGGACCGTGTTCTCTCACAAGATCCGGATAGTTCAGTAGACCAAGGTTGTTCTCCACTTTGGGATTGATTCGGAAGATCTTGACGTGCCTTTCAAGATCGTCGATTACAGTGCCGGTTGGGTTCTCTGTGATTGACATGATTCAGCTAATGCATGCATGCCAGCCAATCACAACGTCTTTCACCGGGCGAAGATTTGCTTCCAAGAAAAGGTCTTCTACAATTGGCGGAATATCCTCCAATGACATAATTGCATCAAAGATTCCTTCAACGAGGTTACATGGAGAATCTTTCTTGATGCCACTGATTTTCCGGTGAAGAAGCCAGATTCTTTTCTGTGTCAGATTGTAAGAAAGAAAATCGATGTCTGGGTCCGTGTATCTTGTGTCTTCTGCCTCGGATCCTAGTTTGTCGAGCACCTGGTGGATCCACTTGGATATTCTGGCATATGCAAGCCAGCTTTCGGAAACGAATGACCCATGGGAAACCTCGGCATGGCACCAATACAATTTGAGATCGGCAACACGCGACAAGAATGGACTGGAGAGGGTATTGAAGGCTGTGCCTTTTTTCTTCCCCTTGAGCCATGAGGCTAAGAGGTCTCTGGTCACGGACTTCTGAATGCCAAGAGAGCAAAGGTGCATCGGCACATCAATATGGTTTCCGACATCATCGCATGGGACATTCCACGTTGGAGGAATTGGAGGTTGTTCAACTGTTAGATTGCTGATGGCTTTGGATGCAGCTTTGGTAACCTCTTTGATGTGTGCCAGAGAAAGAGAAAATGTTTCAAGATATGCTGCTCCATTATTCTTGGACCATATTTTCGACCTGATGCATTGGAATGTCGAGTTGCAGGCTCTTTTCAAGGAAGAGAAAGTCAACCTCCGACTCACAATATATTCTTTTTTTGACCCACCAATTGATTGTCGCTCATCTGCTGGCGCAAAAGGGTTCTCGTCGCTCCGAAAGAACGAGGGGTAGTTCTTTGGAATCTTGAAAATGATGAACACCATGTTCCAATCGGCACAGGTGCATTGTGGCCGACTTCTTTGTTGGCCATTTGTCATCCTCAAATTGTGGCACTCGGCACAGGATGGAAGATTCTTAAAAGCAATGCCCTGCGAGAGATTGGCGGCCCATCCCTCCATACCGGCCGTTCCCATAGGTGAAACATACCCAAGACGATCGTTCTGGTCGATCTTGTAGGGTACAGAAGAGTCGAAGTGATATCTTCACTTCTTTCCCTAAGAGGTTTTGACAAGGCAATAAAAAAGGTTGGTTTCAAAAGTGCAACGTGGTTTTTTTTTGGTGGTTCCGTTATCTTATTTGTGTTTACCTTTCGAGCCGTCAACAGGCCAGTAGAAACTTGTGGGATGCGAAAGTGTTATGAGTTCTGCTGCTATCTTTGATTTGACAGCGCGTTTGTCTCCGCTGCTTGGTCCCAGAGAAAGAAGATAAGTGTTGCATCCAGAATGGTAGTCGTCTTGTGGTGTGCCAATGGAAGCAAAGGTACAATGGGCTGAGATCGAAGTCATCTGACCACAAGACGACTTCAACCGGAATAGCATCTTTGGAATCCTCGACACATGACGCTGTGAGTTTCTTTCCCCGTGGTGAAGATCCATGGAGGGTCCGAATGGCAGCACTGTAGGGAAGGTCCACAAGTGCTTCCAGCCGTTTCCGGTTTGCCAAATGGTACTGGAAGATTACCAGAGGTACCCAGGATTTGGATTGTTGGTCGGGGAAGAACTTCTCGAATGGATTTGGTACCATCAGTGAATAGTTTCCGGAGTACCTTTGGCTCTTCTGGGACACAAAGTGGAAGCATAGTTGTGTTTGCCTTGTTTGCAGCGCCATGCACTTTTGTATAAAATAAAAGTGCCGTGAACACTCTTTGTTGATGTTGACTCAGTTCACTGGCGAATGATGACAGTAGAAGTGAGTACATTGCATGACCATGATCAACACTTTTGACAGTATTGTTGTCGCTATTCCTATTGACAGTAGCTGCAACTAACAGTCTGGATGCGTCACCGTTTGTCTCGTTTCTCCCAAAGTAGCTTGCTGTCATTGGAATTCTTGTAGATTTTGCTGTGTTTGGGCGATCATCTACTTTCCTTGGAAAATAATTGTCAAAGGACCCAAGCTTTACATCATCGCACTTCTTGATTTGAATCTCTAGCCAATCAGAGCCAAGTTCAGGGATGTAGTCAGCCTGATTGCTATGACCTTCTTCTGTCTCCTCCATAGAGTAATCGTTGGAAAAGGACCATAGCAGGCCATATTCCAAACAAGCCGAGCAATCTACGTATTATGTTGTCCATCAGGACAAATTTGTCTCCTTGTGTCACAATGCATATCCTTGGTTTTGCTGTTGCAATTGGGACAAGGTAGGTTTCGCTTGAGTGAGGGATTATGGTAGTCCGAAAAGTCTTCCTGCAAAAGCTTGGTGGTGTTTGATTGAACATGTAGGTCCCCCATGAGGCAGACGGATGCTTATCGGCTTGAGTGCAAGATGATGTATCCTTGGAAAAGATTTACAACTTTTGGATGAAGGGAACATTTCACAAAGCGCAAAGAGGCCCCATCGCTGAAAGAGTCAGGTGTCGGAGTTGTTTGGGGACTTCCACTTCTTTTTCTTTGCACGTTTGTCATATTGTATCTTCCACGATCCGTCATCATCGTGGACAAATTGCCGATATTGGCGATATTCAATATTAGTTTTCTCAATCGTGTTAGTCAACTTGATCTCGATTTGGAAAACTACCTCCTTTAAATAAAACTTTTTAGCGACATCTGTCACGATAGAAAATTTGGGGGGTTCAGGTGGCTATCTTGGGGGTAAAGAAAAAAAGGAAAAAGGAGAGGGAAAAAAAGAAGAGGGGAGATTCCTTTTTCCACCTCGTGTTCTCATATCATATTCAATCCTTCGTGACTGTAGAAAAACGAATGGATGCTTATTAGGGGGGCGATCAAGAAAACATAGAGAAATTATAAA